CCTAAACCCTAAAACCTAAACCTAGTCCAAAATATAAAAAATGATATCCATTTCTTGAAGAGCCCTCGCCTCACTCTTGAAGTTGGCCATTGTCAGAGGGCGAACAATAAAGGTCTCCATGAAGCATTATAGTCCCCCTTAAAGGGTTTAGGNNGGTTTGGGGTTAATATTGGGATAATATAGGGTTTAATAGGGTCATATAAGGACAATGGAAAAGAAAATTGAAACTACTATTTAAGGTTTAAGGTTTAGAGTTCATAGTTCCCCCTACGTATATAGAATATGGTGTATATGGGGAGCTTATTATGATATACCCAAAGCCATGTTTTATCTACTCAAGGGGGACTATATGTTGCAATAGCAGCTGGGAGGAGAGACTACCTATGGTAGTTAGCAAAGCATTCGCCGACCTCTGGAAGCACGTGAGCGATAGTCTAAGCTCCTACTATCCCGCTTCATAACCTGTATAGTACTCGCCTATATAATGTCCCATATGACCGTAGTAGAACCTCGTTTAAGGAGTTTGGACTATAGCTAGTTGGATGGTCAGAGGAGAGTGACGCCCTCTCCTCCCTCCCTCTCCCCTCAAAGCACCAGGGGCAGTACCCCGGCTGGTTTTTGTGGAAAAAGCTAGCGCGCGCGTCACACTCAGAACTTTGCTCTGACGGAGAGGAATATGGCCGGAGGCAGGCTTCCATGTGACTCCGCAACGCTACTTGCACTCTTCAGGAACGGACGGTCACATGCGCAGGCGAGGTTGCTTCCAGCGCAACATTGCGCAACAAAACGCTCGAAAGTAAAGCCGCATACCGCCCTGAAACCGGGAACTCGGATGACAACGAGGTTGCAGCGTTCTTCGCTGGCCTAGGAAACTGCCACAGCACCCACTGGCGCAAGAGTGCGCTCTTGCCGGCTGTCCATCTTGGGGGGCATGGAGGAGGGCTGTGGATGCTCCGCAACCATCCAGACTGGCTTTGCTTGAGTTCAGTTTTGCGATGGTGGTTTTCTTGTGGTCTCTTCAGCTAGCGACCCCAGCACACACCGCAAATGTACTTTACGAGATTCCCAGAAGGGACCCCTGGCTGATGCCCGGCAACCCCCATAAATCTGGTCAGACCTTAAGCCCGAAATCGTAGAGGTTTGAGTCTAGACAACTTGGGCCTCCGGATTGGCACCTCTACCATATCATACAATATTTTGCTACAATATATCATGTTGTATTGTGCTTTAATATAGGATATTATGTTTAATATAGGACTTCTGACTGCGGTACTCGGGACTCAGAGACGTCAAAACCTTCATTACATGGAAGCACAACATGTAGACAATGTAGACCCTGAACCCAAAACCCTAACCCCAAACCCTGAACCCTAAACCCTAACCAGGAAGTCGAGGCCCTGAAACGGAGACAGCTTTTACTACCTTTTGGTTCTCTGGTGAGGGCACAGAGACGGCAGCCTAAACTTACTAGGAGTTGGTGGGAATCTGGTATGTATATAGGAATATATTCCTTCTTTCCTACTAACCACCAGTAAGTGAAAGAGGCCTTGGATGACGAAAACAGCCTGATCATGATTTTGAGTACTCAGGGCTTCCTGTAGCAGCATCTACCCTCATGGCAAATGTTGGGGCTAACATATTACAAGTAGATTGGGAAGTTACTCGTATAATGACTTGTAAGGAATGCGAAGGAATAATACGGGTACTTCTTTAAGCTTCCAGCTTACAACTCTTGTTCAAGGCATCTGCTGGGTCCTCCTGCCTTCTTGGAATACTCATCCATGTCCACAATGAGGAACTCATTGTTGTAGATCTTGATGACTTTGCCTGTCAACTGGCCCCAAAAAGGCATTCAAAAAGGCTGCTGCCCGAAAACCCAAGCCAGGGTTTGGGGTTAGGGTTTAGGGTTGTAGGATTTAGGGTTTTGGGTTTTACGGCTTAAGGTTTTTTGGGCTTAGGGTTTAAGGCTTTAGGTTTTAGGGTTTAGGGTATTGGAGTTTAGGGCCTAGGGTTTAAGATTTAGGGTTTAGGATTTGGGGTTTAGGGTACACAAACCCGACAGGTTAAGCTATGCCCGCAGCCCTCCTGAGCCCGTTCTGACACTGGCAGGGCGCATTGCCCCTCCATTTATCAGTACGCCGGGCAGAAAAGTATAGGAGAAGGTTATGGGAGGACTCCAAGCTAGTTCAATGAAACACTGCAATGATAGTGCATGCCAGCAGTCAGGCTGCTTGCAGGAAACCTGCAAGGGATAAGAAAAGTCTTTGTGAACAGAAACATTTTGCACCGCTTACACCCCTCCAGATTCCATGTCAATGAGCTCCATTGTTTCTCTGGGGGGTTAGGGTTTAGGGTTATAAATTTCATGACCCCTGTAGTCTATGCAACGACGGATCATCCGTGTTCTTTTCCATCGGCTTCTCCCGTATTGGTAATTACAAAAACCCGAAACCCTAGGTCATTCCCCCTTACAGTACCAGCTACCACAATGGAAATAATAGGAGTTCCAATTGATAAGCCCTGCGGGGAATGACCCAACCTTAAACCTTGATGCAGGATCAAAATCTGCGTCCTGGGATGAGATCGTTGGGCTGGAAGAGCTCTCCAGTGACCTGGTTCATATGAACACCTGCAGTGGCTTTTGGCTGCAAGATGCGCATCTTGAGTTTTGCGTGTGGGCCAGCGAGGAGTAATAAACCCCAAACCCTCGAATAAATGATCATTCATATATATATATACATACACACACATATATAGGTATATCAAAGGTGATACAATTGTATGTTGGGAGAAATGCGGACTGTCAAGGGTGTGGGCAAAGTTCTGCATGAGTTCAGGGCCTTCCACATTTGCAGTTATCTCCAACCAAAGATCAAGTGCAGGCTCCTGGGGCTTCGGGATATGCGATAACATACGAAAATACACCAAATTCTACTATAATCTACTGTGACCTACTACAACTATTCGTATATACTATAACCTACTATGACCTATTATAATCTATTAGAATATACTGTTATAATCTATTGTAATATACTATGATCTACTATCATATACTAGGCTTGTGGGGCTTGGGGTTGTTCAGAAGCTTCGGGTTGGTGGTACAGAAGTTTGCCGTGAAAAACAAGCAAACCAGCGACACCTTCTGTGGTTTTTTTATGAGATTTAAAAGAAACTCGCGGTTTAGGGTTTAGGGTTTAGGGTTAAATCATGGTCTCACCAGATGAACGCACATTATATACACCCGTCAACATTCATGAGAAGCCACTTGCGCACTCACCAAAATCTCAGGATAAAGTGCTACCTCTCGTGGGGCTCAGGAATGGGAAGATTGTAGTAGTAGTAGTAGTAGTAGTAGGAGCTATAGTCTAAACTCCTGGTATCCCCCTTTACAACCCTACAGTACCCCCTATGCAATCCCCTATATAACCCCCTTTAAGGAATTCAGACTATAGGTCCTATAGCATGGAATCCTATCAGCACGTTGCCTTCCCGAAGGGTTGGCGCTACTCATGTTGCTCCTGCTCTTGTGATCAGAACCTGCGCTGTAGCTCTCATGTAACATGCAAGCCGCATTTAACGCTGACTTAGTTGGGCTTCTGATAGTGGCCCTAAACCCTAAACCCTAAACCCTAAGGATTGCAATGTGGATTTGCAAGGAGGGCATAGGTGACAGCTGAACAGAGAGGAGCCGTAGGGTCTAAAGGCATCAGGCCCCCCCTTAAGTAGATAGAATTTGGCTTTGGGAACATTACAACAAGATCCCTATATACCCCATATTCTGGGGGGACTATCGAGGCTCATGTCTAATCCGCAGCCGTATAATGGTTTCCATCGTCTTTTACATTCCTTCATTCCCTGCTACTGGTAACTAAACCTTAAACCCTAAAGCAAGTCTTGGGCTGCGGCCCTTCTCTAGGAAGCGCCCAGTGACGATGCCTGAGCAAGTGTCCGCCCAGTGGAAAGTTTCCTAAACAAGCATCCTAGGGTTTAGGGTTTAGGGTTTGGGGTTTAGGGTTTCAGGTTTAGGGTTTAGGGTTTGGGGTTTAGGGTTTAGGGTTTAGGGCTCCTAGTTACCGAAATAATGGGTTCTGGGTTCTATAAATCCCAATAGTGACACAGCCCAGGAACCTACTATTTACGTAACTGGGAGCCCTAGCGATCCCCTAAATCCTACTCCCTGAATCCTAAACCCTAAATCCGAAACCCTAAACTCTAAGTCCTAAACCCTTGGGTCCCTGGGCCGGGTATCACACAAGCTCCCACAACGCAGCGATTGAGTCACAAGCTGCATTGCCACGGTTTGCACACATGAGGTCCCTTTCTATGCCCTCAAATACGCTCTTCCCTATTCTAGGGACTAGCAACCCTAAACCCTAAACC